TTTATCCTAATAGAAAATATATTATCTTATTTCCTTTTGGTGGCAACCAGAAGAGGTGCTAAGACCCAAACATGCTTTACATTTTTTTATTATTTATATTATTTTCAGTTTGTTGCACTGACTAGTTTTGGCTCGAATTTTAAAATTTTGTTTACGAACACCTTTACGGTTACTTTAACACTAGGTGAGACTTAGAATACTATAATTCTGTAACATGTGTCGGGAATTATGGGTATATAAACATTGTATAAGTTCATGTTCCGAACGTGTCCTGTAGAGTTGACACAACAATTAGGTTGTACGAAAATGATTAAATAAAGCTCAACACGTCTTGTAATTTAGAAAATTGCACGTGCAATACCGTGATGTCTATTTTCGTAGGTAAACGGTTATTAACATGACGGTCAAGAAATTTACAACGAAGTAAATAGTAAATCTTCTGTTTGCTTGAGAATTTCGCGCAAAGCTCAACAAAGGGCTATCTGGGTATAGCCCTCCCTAATTTCAACTGATAGACTAGTTTCTTTATTTGTTGTTAAGAGCAAAACTACACAATAGGCCATCTGTGCTCTGCCCAACACGGAATCGAAACTCGCTTTTTAGTATTATAAGCCTTTAGACTTACTGCTGAGCCACTGGGGGGGGGGGGAGCTGATAGACTAGAGGAAAGGTAGTTAGTAAACAACATCATCTCCCATCTGATGGAATAGTGGGACTTGACTGTCACTCTTAAAGTGGAGTGAAGAATGCGTTTTTTGAAACAATGGATTACGAACCCTGAATCATTCGATTCACGCTATCCCTAGACCGCACCTGACTCACACCTAACTTTTATTATTTCACATTTACAAAATACTTTTTACTAGAAGAAAACTGGGTAACTCTTTTTTGACGGAAGTCTTGTTCATTGTAACACAATCCTGTCAGCTGTTTTCAGCATATAAAGAGAACCATAACTTAATTTAGCCATCTGATTTATTTAAAGAAGAAAAAAAACAGTTTTTCCTGGGTATGAAATGTATAACTAAGAATTTCTGAACTTTTGACCAAGGGAACATGTATAACACACAAGTGACTAGTTCAGGTAAATTGTACATGTTACTGTAATTGTTTACATAAGCAAAAGCCATTCTCCCCGTTTATTATAATAACGCTCAACGTGTTAATGTGATTAACCCAAAGAAAGCTTATTCTCTTTGAGTGGTGTTGTTTTATTTAACCTAAACAAGGGGAGAGGTATTTCAGAATGTAAACCACAACTGATTTAGGCACCCCTTTAGAGAAGAGCATGACGTGCTCCTTCTTATAAATATCATTAACTTTAAATAAAGAAATATTGCAGATTAGAGCGAAATATTTCTATATAATCTTAGATGAATGCGAAATTTGCGAAATTATCCGACTTACTATTAGGTACAGCGTTCCTGAAGGTACGTTTACTCATAACTTAGCTCTAAATTTTCTTATGTTTATTACATGATAATAATTCACCAATTTGCTCATACATGTAAGTATCATCGCTTCTTAGAACTTATGAGTGAAAGCAAAGAAGAACATGTCATAATATATCAACTACACTACATCTGCCATATCCATTGCCGAGGAGGCCTTTCGCTAAATACCAGGACTCTTCAGTCCGACTAGGATATAATAGACATAACAATGGTCGACCCGGTGCTATTTATATCACCAAGTTCCTGAACAAAAGGAAAGAATATGTAAAAAAATATTAATATAATTTTATTATCATTAAGCTTTTCCCTGCTATAGCTGAGAGGAAAATTCGTTATTGTTATTACAATATCGTGTAACTTCCCCTTTCTTAGTTAGTATCTCGTAAATCTAAACTTCAAAGTGTCAGTTTATTGTATCAAATGTTGGCATTAAACCAGTTGGTTTATCGATATTTAACTGTATACTGCTTACGTAACAATTCGAAATAAAGAAATTATAAAATATTTTGAAATAATATCATTCATTAAAATTTTTAAAATAACCGTTTTATGTAACGGAGATTTCCAGTTATGTATCTTGTAGCATTTTTCAAGACAATAAAATGTACTCAGGGAAAACGAAACACAAGAACAACACTTTATTACAATAAACAGGTTGTAAATTCTTCGGATGACATTAACAAAGCGTTAGAAGTTAATAACTCATACTGCAGTCATTTTATACTTCACGTGACAAAATGTTTTCGAACTAAGTTTTTAAAATCTTCAAAAATTAGAGCCGAGAAACGATAATATTTAAGGGCAAAGACAATAAATATTTCTGGAAGAGACCACATTTCAAGCCCACAATATCATACATACTATATTTGCTATAACTACTAATTACGATTTATGAAACAATAAACACACATGATTAAATAGATAGACAGACTCCGTTGCTATAGAGTACAATTGACTAGTCTAATAATAGTTGTTTCTAATTTATGTGTGTTTGTTCATGCTTAACCATTCTGTAGAACACAATCCCTACCACCCGTGGACTGCAGTGGACAGAACATGATAACCCAATATATAGCTTTATGCTTTTAATAACCAAATAAAAGCTATAACTGATCTGGTAATTAGGGTGCTAGACTCGCAATCTGCGGTTCGTAGGAGCGAATCCTATCACCGTCCTTTCAGCCGTGGGAGCGTCATAATGTTACAACAAATCCAGCTATTCGATTTGAGTAGTCCAAGAGTTATTGGTGGGTGGTGTTGAATAGATGCCTTCCCTTTAGCCTATCACTTCTAAATTAGGGATGTCTAGCGTAGATAGGGCTCAAGTAGCATTATTAAAGAAACAAACACCATCGACTGTTTTACCATAGTGAATGATATTTAGATGTAACGCTGAATTTCGTTTTATTAATTGTTCGATTATATTTCGTAACATAAAGATCTGTTTATTGAGTTTCCACCTCTTCTGAATCCTGCTCCTTCACTTCTTAATTTCTCATTTATACATTTTTTGTCTAACCGATGATAATTCCTCTAACACGTTACTTGGAGCCGACAATAAAGTGAAATCTACCTTCATGGGTAGCGTAGAGAATTCGCTCTTTGTTCCAATGTTCTAGTACGTTTTCTTATTCCCATATTCTTCTTAATGTTCTTATAATACTAGTGTTGCTATTCCATTATATTTGTTTTTAGAAGCTCTGCAGTAATCCAATCTCTATTAACTATTTTACCATTTTTAGCTTATTTATTGCTCTTCTAATTTACCATTTAGTAACATATTCCGTATCTATAGTTTCTTTTAGTTAACCCTCATTTTCGTGGTGTATCTTTATTCAAAAACATCATCGACGTGCTCTTTACATTTTTCTTTCTCACCTTTATTGATTAACTGTTGGTTCTGTTTACTTCTCACCATCGTAGTTTCTGGACTTGTTCTCGCTTAGCGTCTTTCGTAGGTTCATATATTATTTTTATCTCTCATCTTCTTACTACTTCTTATACCATAGAACGTTGTCAGCTCACATCCTATTATCTTTACTTAATCTTTTTTTACCTCTTTATTTCTGTTCTTATATTCTTCTCTTAGGTTCTAGTAAATTCTTTCTGATTTTATTCTATCTTTTCTTTATTTTCTTTCATTCTTCTGCTAGCTTCTAAAACCCTTCTGTTATTCACTTATTCCTTTTCTTCTTTATCACCTCTTTCACTGTTTAGTTATAAGTTTCTTAGAATATTTTTCTAACCTTTTATTTCTTATACATTATCTAATACTTCAAATCCATTTTTTAGCTCAATTGTAAATTTTTGCTTTGCCTCTTTTAGGTTCAACTTATCTATATCATTTTCTCCTTTGTGTTATCCTTTCAGTACTGCACAATTTCAAATAGGATATTATTAGGAAGTGACCACTTCCAACATTCGCTCTTCTGTATGCTGTATGCTGTCCATTCACAATAATGTAGTTTCTGTATCTTTCTTCAGGTGACTTCTGTGTTATTTGGTATAAATCTTTATATGGGAACACTGTAGCGGAATATTAAAGCACATGAATTACGAAATGTTAACCTTTTCAGAAAGATATTTTTATCGAAGTAAAGTTACAAATTAGCCCTAAAAAGTACGAACCACCTCTTAAGTGTTTGCTCGTTAAAAAACAGTATATTTATTATAAATATAAAACTTAAATAAATGTTTCTTTTTATACGTAGGTAAACTGTATTTAGGAATAGCTGTATTAATACATACAAACTGATCATTTAAAAGATTAATGACTCTTATTAAGTCTTGAAGAGATATTATAATATATGAAATAAAAAAATCTGATATAAGAACAAAAAAAGCCGATTGAAAAGAATTAAATATTTTATACCTGGTGTATTGTTTTTAATAATCCAAAAAATAATGGTCATAATGATTCTAATCATGCATTTTCTGAAAATTATTTAGCTTTATTAAATAAAATTTATTCTACAATAATAATTTGATATTAAGCGCATAATGCACATGATCTCTGGGCTGTGCCCACCACAGGACTTGGACTCTAAATTTTAGCTGTAAAACCCCTCTAACTTACCATTAAGCCATCGGGGGAGCGGGCGTCTAAAGTAACAGCAACAGATTTAGTAATAACAGTTTTGTGAGTAGTAATAAATCTAGATTTAATATGAGTTTAGATTAACCATAGAACTACATAGTGTACAAAAGGGTATTTACTAATGTGTGGATTCAACAGGCATGTTCCATTTTTATGGCCTTTTATAAATTATAATAGAAATACCTTTATGTAATGTGCTTTTTACGGATATTTTAGTAAATATTTATATCCCACCTCAAACAGGTTTTGATACCAAGGGTAACAACACAAATAGCCCATTGTGTAGTTTTGTGCTTAAAAACACTCTGAATATCAATAAGGATTTTTGTCACACTTTTTTTGTATTTCAATATTCAGTATTAACCAGAAATGACAATCAATTGTTTTTCACGTCCACCAGGTTCCTCTTTTACTTTACACTTTTAATTATTATTTTGTCTTTTAGATGCAAGATCAGATGTATTTTCTAGAAGATTTTATTTTATCATCCTTGGAAAACGATGATTTTCCACGCCTGCTATATTGGATAAATCGTAATGAGGGCCTATTTGGGATCAAATGGTCTCGAGCCACAGGAAGGTTCACAAAAAGCAATTTTAATTTGTTTACTGTAAGTGTTTTTATCATTAATAGGCTAATATGTGTTTTTTGAAATATAATGAATATTATTAAAATACATTACATATGAATTTGCTTGTTGAAATAGAATGTGGTAATGTATTTTTCCAGTATTCAAGTTATCCTGCTTCACAGCCCAAAGAACTTTGTTATACCATCTTGTGTAAGTGAATTGTTGGAATATCTCATTGTAAGTTATCCGACATGATATAGTAAATGTTATCGTTTGCCTTACATTAGTATGTGTAGACTGTAAACAATGGGCGATCTAATATGTTTTGGAATTTAGTTATAGAGTGTGCAATGCTCTTATACATTTATTCATTAGACAAATTATGCTATATATCTTTAAGGACGTTTCTTTTTTCTTTTGTTAATTGGAAGTATAATTAATGATTTTTTACAATGACGTTACAATTAAGCAACTATAAACGATTTAAAGATAAAATTTTTCCACGCATTCAAGCGAGACCCAAAACTCGAGCACTTTCGAATAGTTCGCTATTCTTCTTCAGGAAGTATTATTATATAATGTGATTTATTAAGCATCTACTACGAGAAATGTTAGTCAAGTATGTTGAATTTATTTATTACTGAAGTTACTTTATATAACTTTAGGCATGGGACAAAATAAAAGGCCATAACTGCTCAAAAAAGACAAACTATTTAACGAAGGCAAAAGGTAGATTCCGCAGTGCCCTTTGGAAGCAGGAACAAATTAAGAAATTGAAACGAGAGAAAACACTTGAAACGCTAGAAGTTCGGATTTACAGATTTATTGGTGAGATCTAAGTAAAGTAAATTTTTGTAACTCTATCTATTATATACTGTTCTAATTAAACAACTGTACATTCTATCATTAGCTCTTTGATAATTTTAATCTATTTTAATCTTACGTTCGCCTAAGATTATGTTTCTTTGATATGATATGATTTATTGTTATTCATATAAAATGTATAAATGACTAATATATTTACACCATGTACTTGTTACAATTAAGCAACTATAAACGATTTAAAGATAAAATGTTTCCATGCATTGATTTCGTTAAAATACTTGTTTTATTTTTCAGAACTGATGAATGTGAAACTACCAGATTCTTCTTCCTTTTGCAGTGGCAGTAACAATTTCCAGAATTATACCCAATTAAACCTTTCAAAGAAAAAAGAAACTCATCAAAATCGCATTTCCTTGATATTCATCAACAATGAAAAATATATTACGTTAAACACAATATTAGCCATATGCGTTGTAAACTCAGAATTCACAGATGACAGTTATAAAGAACAAAAGTTATTAAATATGATGAACACTAGCGAAGATTCATCGGCTGTAAATGGAATTTGTGAAGAAAAAGACAATTTCAAAGGAACAGAATATAGTGACATACACAACCAGTCCCTAAATGAAGACGATGTCTGCAAAACGGGGCCTACTGATACTGTTTACATCATACAAGAGAAGAACTGTGCAGATTCAGTTGCTTTTCACCCTAAACAGCATGATGGAAACGTTAACTCAGACATAAAAAAGCATACTTTATTGTATCATTACAATGCTAATGCGCCCCAAACTTCTGGAACTCGAAACAGATCCGTACAGGACGGGGAGGTAGATGAGCTATATTCACGCGAAGATTTTTCTGATGTAATTCTTCTTGAAGAACCAGTGAGTTTAGAGGTACGTTTACATTTATTTATCAATCAAATTCTATCAATTTATTTACTAAGTTAAAATTTTGTATATTATGTTTATTTTCAAGTATGATTACGTTTATTAGAATAAAACTGCCGAGAAAATACACTCGTGTCACTTTTTCTCCACTTTCGAAGATCTAAGTAATATTTCACAATTGATCTCCCTTTTGGATTTTTTAAAATAATATCAAGCATTCTTGGCGTTTCATCTAAACAAAATATATTGATGAAATATTTTTGTTGAGTCTTGTTCCTGTATATCTATTTCAGAATTTAACTAGTAACTCGCTAACGTATTATTGGGATGTTATTGATCAAAGATGGATTTAATTAAGTAATAACAGGACTATATATAGTTGCACGAATCAAGTATGACAAAAGAAAAATTCAGATATATTTCAAAAGATATAAATAATCCTAGCTTAGAAAAAATTATCATTACGCATTCTTTATAATTAGAAACTATTTTATAGGCGTAAACGATTTATAGTAATATGGGATATTGTTGTTATAATGAGCGGCCTTTATAAAATGTAGAACTTGGTACTAATCCATCCGTTTTCTTCTATTATAGGAACTCGAAAAAGTGCCTATTGAGGATATGTTTTTCTATCCCAAAACTGGAACAGGATAACGATAATGATTTTGGACAATTATTTTTTCTAATCAAATTTCACATTTCATCGTAACAACAGAACAACTTTATTTTCATTTTAATCCCTTGCTTTATTACAACCTCTGATGATATTTTATATGACAGTCTTATCTATGGACTATAATTCTGCAGCAAAATTTTCAGTGCAACACTGAAGCCAATGTTATCCTTTACGGAGGATTGTGTGCGTATGACGACTTCTGAAGCCCCTTTTCAACAACCTGTTACGCCTCTGTGTTCGTTGGTTAATTTTCCGTCGAAATTCTTTCCGAGAAACTTCTGCGATACAAATTCTTTCTTAAATAAACTAATCTATTCTTTCTCAATACAACTTTGCAATACACTTAATTTCTACAGTCACTTTAACTTAAACACACGCTAGAATTCACAACGATTCACGCACTTTACTTATGGTGCCTACCGCGCTTGACTGAATTGTCCATTTCTATCTCTGCCTGTCTGCAATTCAATTCCGATTAATTGATTTCGCTTTATCTGGCGCACTTATATACAAGAATAGAGGGCGCGTAGAAAAGACCAGAGTTGCCACGAACAGACATGATCTTTCTAGAATATCATGACGTGTTACCTGAGTCACGTGACTTCCGCTGTCGTAACAAACCATAGGCACCAAAGCCCATGGGTGATTCGTCTTGGTAGAGCTATTCATTATTGGCATCCAGTCTATAGCGAGATGGTATGTCCTCGTGCCTCAGTAGTGCCCGGATGTTAACTTCACAGTATGTATAACCACGACCGAAATTTAAACTACCCTCCTAATGTTTAGTTTACCCTAATACCTGTAACCACCATAAATTTCCAGTAAAAACTTTCACGATCTGCTCTGTATATCTTTTAAAAGTTGTACCACTGGCAGAACTATAATAATTTGCCCAAATTTTTGCAGGCACCTAAGTAGGCATATGAGTTGTCAAGTATAATGCCACAATTACATTTCTCACATGCCAGATACTGCTCGTACAGCATGCAGTTGATCTTTAGGAGTAAATATTGCAGCAGCAGCAAATACAAATCATGTAGAATATATTTTAATAGAACTCAGAAGCTAACTGGTGATGACTACTTTTTTCTTCTAAACGCAAAAATATCGTTTCTTGCAAACTTTTATAATCGTGGAATAGGAAAACTTATGTTGGAAAGCCTTGTAATGTTACTTCTCAGGGGGCATTGGGAACGATAAAACTAACCGAAAGATTACGCCATGCATCTGCGTTAATGCATTACGAATTTTCCTGGTACTTCTGTATAGAATATATTGATATTCTTTACAGATCATGGGGAATTGTTCGCTCAAGAGGTATTTATAATGTCTAAGGTAAATTGTTTACACAATGCTAAAAGTGGGATTCTGTTACATATTTCTGAAATAAGTGCCTTAAACTCATTTAATTGACAGTGATAGAAGACTGATCTCAGAACGAGCATTCATAGACAAGCTTACCTTATATATATACTTGTGTAGTCTAGCGAGGCACCTTAGGAGTTTATAAACTCTTCGGTACCAAGAAGTGCAAGCAATGAAGATGCACCTTGATTTCACTGTACTTTGTACAGTGAAAGTTTTATTAGAGCATGATCTATTTTGGCAAATATGAGCCTTAAAATCGTGCTCTTTAAACCTCGAAGCTGCTGTTTCAGGAAATTTTCAAAATAACTATCTTTGTGAATGTGTAAAGATGCATTGTACAGTTAAACGTATCAGTTTAGTAAGATGTGTTGGGAGTATACTTCAGGATTTTGTTTAGAAACGTTTTCCCTTTGACAACCCTTGCAGAAAATCCAGAAAGTATAAACTTTTCTGATTTGATGTAATATCCAATTTCAGTTTATTTTCTGTAAAGCGATTGACTCATATTATGAGGCTGGAGAAAATAATTCACAATTATTTCGCAATTTCTTATAATTATTTGAGCTGGTTCAATGAAAATACCTTGATACGATCCTACATTTAACTGTAAAAAATTAAAACAAATTCAGTTCAGTGTTTATACAGTTTTTAGGTATATTTTTCTAAAGCAATTAAAAAGTTCTTTAAATATTTTAAAAAACGTATATCAGGATATTTTGACAAACAAATTCTCTGTTTAAGAGTTCATTTTATAATTAACAAACGTTAAGACTTCTCTGACTAGTTGGGGAAATCTATTTTTATATACTATTAGTGCCAATAATTATATGCAGACAAATACTACGAAAATATACTTTTATACAAGTGTTGTTTTATAGATGTACCCTTTGGTATTTTAAGCCCTCGGTGTCTCAGCGATAAGAATGAGGAGCTTATAACATTAACATAAGATTAAGGGTCCGATCTCTGTCAGGGACACAGCACAAATAGCCCATTTCTATAACTTGGTGCCCAATAGCAAATAAAGAAACAATATTATTTTGAATAGCTTGTAAACAAAAATTCTGTTCTGAATTTTTATTATAAAACATTAATTTCCCTTTTTGAAATATTTTGTTGTTAAGCAAAAAGCTTTTCAATGCACTATTTCGGCTGTGCCTTCCACAAAGGTTGAAACCCGAATTTTAGTGTTCTAATCCATTCAACTTTATTTACCCCCCAGTGGCACAGCGGTATGTCTGCGGATTTACAACGCTAGAATCCGGGTTTCGATACCCATGGTGGGCAGAGCACAGATAGCCCATTGTGTAGCTTTGTGCTTAACTTCAAACAAACAAATCAACTTTATCGCTAAGCCACCGAGGAGCAAATTTCTTTTAGTGGTGATGCAAATATGTTTTCTTAATTTTTTGTATGAAATATGTAATGGTATGATTTTATGTTAACGTTTATGTAGCAAATTGCTTTATGATTTCCTTCTGATATTTGCTGATAATCATATTTAAAATATTATTTTTTGTTTAATATTATGATTCTATGAATAGTTTTTCAGTGTGTTATAGGAAATAATTAAGAGTGCTAGATTTTATTCTGTATTTTTGAATAGATACATTATTACTGCTTTTGTTTACCATTCTGAATACAACAACAGAGTGTTGTAGAAAATAATTGGCATGACCTGGAAGATAATGTGCTGGTTTCGTGGCTAACGTCCCGTTGTATCAATATCACTCTCCGATCTTTGGGTTTCTTTGTTTTGTATTTCACGCAACGCTACTCGTAGGCCATCTACCGTAGCTTTCCTGATTTAGCAATGATGACTAGAGGGAAGACAACTAGTCAACACCACCCACCACCAACTCTTTGGCTACTTTTTTACCAACGAATAGTGGAATTGACAGTCACATTATAACGTCTCTATGGTTGAAAGGGCGAGCATATTTGGTGACAGGGATTCGATCAAGCGACCCGCAGATTGCGAATCAAGCGCCCTAACTATCAGGTCATGCCAGGCCCAGCACTTTGGGGCTATGGATGTGTTATAGGAGTGACGGTCAAATCCCGCTTGCTGTCTTTCCTTTGGCCTATCCCTTTGGCTAGCTAATGCATATAATAATATGTAGCTTTGCGCGAATATTCGAAACAAACAAAGATAGTTAAGAGTGTAAGACTGGCTTCAATGATTGCGAATAAATTCATTATTTCGGATAATAATGATTAAATGTAGGTGAACAAGACATTCTAAAAAAAAAATGTCGTACTCAATGTCATGTTTTTGTTTTATACCTCTAGAATACAGATAACCAGAAGAAACAAAGGATAGTAGTGGAAATTTCTGAACTACCACAAAACTGAAACTAATGTGGGGTGGGCTGGTAAGGAGTTTGATAAGAAATCTGTGCAAGCTCATACACACACTAAAAATGTCATGTAAAAATATATTTACCTTATTTGAATGAGAATTTTCACAATTCTTATTAAAAGGAACGACACACAGCTATCACTTTTTACATTCTTTAACTCCTTATTAACGCTTTTATTTATTCATTTAACAGTGTTTCTCATCGCTACAGAAACTTCTACAAAGTGCTGTAACGATTTTTATCATGCGTTTCTACGATTTTCAGTTACAACTGGAAAACATTTTATTTTCAAGTACATTATGCTGTTGTATTCAGAGTGAAACTTTGTGCCTTCAGAAATTCATGACAAAAATAGAAATAATCAAATATGAAAGCAATGGCAGGTGGGACACCTCTCGGGACCCTCATGATCCAACTTATAAAAAGTTCATTTGTGAAATATATATAATAATTTCTTCTTGTACTAGGATCCCGTCTGAGGACACTCAGTCTTAACTCTTATAAGCTTTCACAACACTAACACTTTTGTGACTCAGATACACAGTTACAAACAACTCTTGAAAGAGCCACCTGTGAAATCGGCTAAGCAGTCTTTTTAGCTCCTTATGACTCATCTAAACTTTGTAGCTTTGAACACGTTAAAAACAGAGAGTTAAGCCAATTACAGCGTAGGAACTGTAACGTAATGATTTGAATAAATTGTTTTGACTGATAGAATCTGTAAAATATCCTTTATTACAGAATAAATAGGAAAAATATTTTTGATCAAAATCTTCGAAAAACTGTACTTAACAAACCACATTTTATACAAAATAAATCATTAATAATAATCTAACGGGAAATTATGTTATAGTAATGTACAATACAATTGTGGTATGCAGCCATACCATATGCTTCGTACTCCATTAGTTAAATATATATATTTTCAAAATTTCTTAAGATGGAAAGTCAGTCAGAAAAGCAAATATATTTATTTTGTCCTAGTTACTCACGGAACCGAGTTATTCAACTAGGATGTCACATGTACTTTCTGATGGAAAAATATTGCTATAACGTCAAACCTACTGCATAGAAGTAAAAAACTGATCTTTTTTTTACTGGCAAGTCAGATGATGACCCAGGGATACAAAATTCCTTGTTTTGAAGTGAGAGTGACCGTCAATCACGTGGGTAGTGATTTCGTTATGAGAAGAATGCCATTGTTGTTTTTAGTATATAATGCGATGTTAGTTCCACAAAAATATTTTGGCAAGCCATTCGTTATTTTGCGGTTCCTACCCAATTACTCGACGGTAAATCAACGAACCTGAGAATATTACACTGCGTAAAACTTTGATTCTGAAATGTATACCAATTTTGTAGGGGAAACAATGTTAAATTTTTTCGATAATAAAGAAGTCAAAAGTACCTTTTTAATTTTATTGATTTTAAAAACTAAAATATAATCAGCCAAATCTATGATATTCTAAAATTTAACTTCAAGGAAGTTTAAGTAAACAGAAAATAATAATCAATCTTCAGTTAATACTACAGCATGTA